GGGTCAAACCACCTAATCGTTGAATTCAGGTGTTCCAGTCATCTCCATGGTCACAGGTGTATGACATCAACAACATCATCATGCAGCCTGTTTCTATAACAATATGTGAAACAATGGGTCTCTGTTTAGTAAGTCCAGTTGGGACATTTCTTCACTGTTAAAGGTATAGTGGAGGATCATCAATATAAGTGGTCCTCCTAATTGTCAATCATTCTGGTGATATGTTTACGTACGGCCGAGTTACGCGTATATCATCTTCACTCAACGGTGGTGAGTCTGACATAGTGAAAAAATTGCAAATCTTCTTTTGAAAGTAAGCTTGTATAAGCGATGCAAACAGCAACTTTTAAACAGTGTGCACGATAGGCGTTAGCTCTCTGGAGCAGGTACAGGGTTGTGGATGTGCATTTTGTTTTCCAAGTGCAAAGGGAGGGTGTTTTAAAAAACATCTGAAAGTCACCGGTTTCCCTCCATTTCCACTGGATCCATTTGCACTCTGCTGCACCACTGGTACGGACTCTGCAGTAAATAAACACATTCTACTCAAAGAGAGCTTCACACTGTCACTGCACAGCAGCGGAGCAGATTCGCAGTCAAACTGCAAAGATCACACTGTGCCAACAGGAAACTGTACAAACATATCAGCCCATTTTTTTTCTAATGAATACACTGAAAACAGACTCTATCTTTAGACAGGCCTCTCAACACATCAGTGTTTTCTTGAGGGGGGGTTTATTGCTGCAAGGTAATTGTGCCGATTTCTACCCTTATCTCTTCCTCCTCAGGACCACCACAGTGGAAAAGTAGATAACCCAACATGTTGAATTGTCTCATGCATGTGGTGTTCCCCAAGGAAAGCTGAGCAAGCAGTCACATAACGACCAATCTATGGGAGCAATATTGCTGCAAAATTATTTGCAAATGTGTGTGGAGATTTGTCCGTCTGTACGAGTATCTGCAAATGTATAACATAACTTGTGTGTAATTGATTTGAAAATGTGTGAAAATTCCACAAATCTGTATTCAGATCTACAGATGTGTGTTAAGATTTGCAAATGTGTAGATGAGTCAGTAAGCAAACAGAGTCACTTAAGTCTTTTTTATATTTATGTAATCTAGAAGCAGGATTTACCATTGGGTGTGTTTGAGTTGGCCACAAGACAATTTATTTATTTTTATTTCTCAAGATTGTTTAGTTCAGGAGTTTGTTGACGGTCTCTAAGTGAACCAGCCGCCGTGAGAAGATGGAGCAACAGAGAGCGGCTGGCCGACATCTGAGCATCCGAATCGGATCGACCGTGAGCTTGAATATCTGGCTTCAAACTAACATCCCTGCAGCAAATCACCACACATTTCTGAAGCAGCCTTCGAGTTCACAAAGTTCTTGTTCGCCGCACATCCCATACTGCTGGGTTCTTTCTATTGTGGCGTTTTGAAACAACTTTTTCAAGAACATCCAGCACCCTACATTCTGCAGGCACCTGTTATGATAGCTCAGTGACAGCACTAGGGGGCTAATTCAGATATCAAAATATATAGTTTTGGCTACTCAAAATTAACCTTGAGATATCCTGATTATAATTCCAGATATGTGAAAGTTTAAATGATAATTCAGGCAATACTATTTATCTCAAAAGGCATTTTGACTCTCCAAAATGTGATTGATATCTTGAAGTGTTATTTTCCCTCGTCATAATATAATTTAAGATATATTAACGTATCATTCAGGATAGTCAAAATTAATTTTCAAGTCAAAACTTTTTTTTTGATATCTTAGAGGTAATTACGGACGGTCAGAAAAGTTGATTGCATGATAAACGGCTGCCATAAGCCTGTAAGCCTGCACTCAGGGCAGCAATTCAAGATATTTCACGTACGAATCCTCGATATGCATTTGCATATCCCACTTAAAAGAAGTGAAGCGAAAATCACGTGTGTAAAGAGAACCAACGGAGAAAATGCTTGACTTGTAACCAATGATTTGTTTGTATTTCTGGGTGTTGAATCAAAAATACATCAGTTTATTTACAGACTGATCTACACATTTGTAGATCTGAATACAGATTTGTGGATACAGATGTGGAACACACAAGTTATGTTTTACATTTGCAGAAACTCGTACAGAAGGACAAATCTCCTCACACATTTTCAAATCCCACTGCACAGACACACAACTCTCCACAAACATTTGCAAATAATTTTGCAACAATATTGCTCCCATACAATGGAGGACCAGCTCTACCATATTTAAAAATCAATACAGAAATAAGTGCTCAATAAATAAAGCATACAGTTAATTGCCCCCAAAAATAAAACAAATAAATGTAGGTACAGATTAAATTATACAGTGATACATAAATGTATATATCTCCTTTAATTAGCTTCTTTATTTATTCACCTTTGTAATAATTACCTTATTTATTTATTGTCCGTTATAATCTTCAACTTTATTTATTAATTACTTATTTTTGTAAGTATTTATTTATGTGCATGTTATAATATTTGTGTCTGTTTAATTCTTTTTTTTTTATCCACTTTATTTATTCAATGCTATTTATGTCTGCCTGTTGTTTTTGCATTTCTGCCTCATTATGCAAATGATGAAGGGTTGTGTCTTAGAGCGTTAACTTCTGCCCATTGGTTGGTTAGCATTTTACTGCATTATTGGAATCTACAGGAGAAGAGGAGAGAAATGCTAACCAACCGTTGGACAGAAGTTGACCCTCTTAGACAATTTCTGCCTATCTAAAAACGAGTTGCCGAAAACCCACTGAGTTTGCAAGCACAGTTGGTAACAGGTGCAAAAGTGGTGTAGATGACCATATTTATACAAGGCTTTTATCTGTGCTGGCATTTTGGAAGAGCAGTTAACAACGGATGAAGTTTAAAGCCATACACATGGTGGTAATAATAAGGAAAATAATTCATAATGCACAATGTACAACTACCTAAAAGTGCTATGTAAAACGATAAAAAAATAGAAAGATGAAACTAATAGAAGCTAAAAATGAAAGATTAATCATAAAACATTAAAAACTGGCTTTGACAGCAGTCCTCCTGCATCCACAGTGGATACCCCACATTTTTCTGGGGTATATAGAAGCGCTTATCCACTGCATCCCAACAAAATATTATTGTGCAATCCAGTGAATCGTGCAGCTCAAAAATTGCATTGCTGAAAGATGATGTCTTTACCATTATTTCTTGCAAACCTAATACTTTACATGCACACAGTCTCTCTCTCATATTTCATTGTACTTATTTGCTTCCTTCTTGACAGACTGACTGCAGAGCCTTACATGAGCAAGTTAAAACCTGATTTAAGAATGTATTAAATACAAATACAGGAACTAAACCTACAATAATTCAGTATTGATTAATCATATTGCAGATTGTAACATTTGCATGTTCTTCTGCAATATTTAGCATATTGTGATTGTCAGCATATTCTGCACCTAAGGAAAACATATTAATTTTATGAGCCTGGTGTTCCATTCATTTGAGCAATCAATGGCTTAAGACTTCTTAACTTCACGTCGCCTTCAAAAAGTCCTTAAGGAGTTTCACTGATTGAGTGATCTTAGCAATGCTGCAGAAACCAAGCCTTGTTGCCAATGCAGCTCTGTAAAGTGTGTTGCCACTGGACACTGTAGCACATGATTTCAGCACCTGGGACTCCATCCGGTCTGGTGCTGGGCTATCAGATGGTGGGAGTCTTATCATCCTTTAATGGTGTCAGCTGTGTGTCCTCTGCTGGTCTGCTTTTTGTCAGCATGCCGGCAGAGGGGGAGAAAAAGGTGTTGAGTTGGTCTGGGAGAAAGGGTATCATTGGGGGGAGGAGGTTTTGTGGTACTGCTTGTAGTCAGCTATGTTGCAAATGTCCTTCCACATGGAGAATTGTTTTCTCTGACATTGGCTTCATTTTGCTTTTCAAGCTTAGCACTGGCCTCAGTCCATTCTGACCTTACTGTAGGCCTCCCTGGCCAGAATCCCATCCAGGTGACCCCAGCAGGATGCCCGCACCCAGGAACAACAGCCCAGGCCACGCCCCCTCAACTTTATTATTAGTAATAATTACACTGGAGAAGTTTACCTCTCTTTAACCCAACCCTTTGGGGAGCAGTGGGCTGCCATTGTCTGTTACCAGGGGAGCAGTGTGGGGTTAAGGGTCTTTGCGAAGGGACCAGGAGTGACAGTCTGCGGGAGTACGGCTCAAACTGAGAACCTCAGGATTCCAAGCGCAATGCCCTAACTAATAGGCCGCTATACAAAGATTCTTTGTCGCTACCTCCGCAGCAATGCCCGAAGGGACAGCTGCCATCAAGCCCACCACCACCCAACCAATCTGGGCACCAGTAGCCCCAGTCCACGAAAGAGGGGGCATTAAGCCTCCACAGCAGATGCAGCTTCCCCCTGACACCGCCCCCCAACCAGCCAGTCCACTTCCACCCCCTGAAGGAGCAGAGAGCAGGGTCTATGGCGATGGTGAAGTCAAGGCCAGAAGCGAGTGCCAACAGCCTCAGTCCGTGGGACCGCCATGCCGCATGAGCACCAACCCTGGCCAGGAATCTGCACCGAAGTCGACCCACTGCCTCAGGGCAAACACGACCCACAAGCCGACCCAATATCGCCACAAGGCATGTAGATCCTTAAAGTAGATATTTAAAGTGCTCTGATATCATGCTCTCAAAACAGTCTGATGTCTATGCTTTAATTTGTCAAGATCAAGGGAAAAACTAGAAAATGACCAAAAAAGGAAATAGGATTATAACCTGATTACTATTGAATAAATGTGAGTGCTTGATGAGAGGATGTTGAAGCGTATCTTTCTTCTACCAACTAAAAACAACAACTAAACGTTGTTTTGGAGAGAAAGAACAGATAGGTGGAGAAAACCATAAAATCACGTAGCTTTAACCAACCATCAAACTGCACATAGAAATCTCCTTAAGGGGACTAAAGACACATTTTCATATTCCTTCCATCCATTAAAAACTCACCGTAACTGTTGTCTCCTTGCTTTGTTTCCTAGTGGGTGACGTTGATCCAGGGCTCTGCAGAGAGAAAAACACTCCATCAAAACTTTCCTCCTCCGTGTCAGACATGACTGCTCAACATGAACACTCTGCCACTCCACCAAACACGTGCAATCAAAGCTATTTTCAACATGGGAGACGGATGGGTCAGACTGGTGCATTCTGTACTCATGCTGCCAATGTTTGAGTGTGTGTGCAGATAGTTCTGCAGACCAAAGCAAAGCATGATCTGCTCTCTCTTTTGTGCACGAGTGTGGATATTTCTATGTGTCATTTAAATCTGTTTGAACACAACTGAAATCAATAAGCCATCTTGGAGCTTAAATGTAAAGGGGTCTCGCAAATGCATCTCAATCAAACACATATGACTTGTATTTTCTTGAAGGTATATTTCACTAACCTGACAACAGCCAGATGCATGTCTCGCTCCGTCTAGCTCCACTCACATACATCTGGGAACCCGCCATAGGAATTGCCTTTAGTGAAGGCTGGGCCTTATCAAAACTCCTTGCATATGATTGGATAAGCCACTTGTCTGTCATCTTTATAGACGTGCTATTTCAACCACTCACACCGAAGCTAACCCGTGACGCTGTGAGAGGAGGAGCCATTTGGTAGATCAAGCTCTTGCCAAATCCGGTCGAGAGAAGGGCGAAAACATCGTTTCCACCAACAAAAGCCTTCAAAGCCGTTCTCTGATGTTCTTTTAATGAAACAATATCAGATAGATTGGACAACACAGAAGAAATAGCAGCATCAATGCTAACGCTTGCTTCCTCAATGCGAGCCGCCATTGTTGTTGGAATCTCAAGGTCGCTTCTCCACTCCAGGACACACCCGCCTTGCGTCCTGATTGGACAGACCATAAATTCGGTTGGGGAAATCACTTTCAATGAGCGGGTTCCCAGATGTATGTGAGTGGAGCTAGGCGGAGCGAGACATGCATCTGGCTGTTGTCAGGTTAATATTTCACCGACTGTCCTTTAATATCCAATAACAGAGAGGGGAAATGCCCCCAAAAAGTTGGGTGTCTCTGAGGTGGCTAATTCCTTTCAAGACCAATGTTTCTGTGAGAACTGGGTGCTGCTGAACTAAACTGGGCACAAAGGAATGGAAGGAGGCCTTTGAGGTTCCTCTCAACTCAACTGAGGGTCATTTCATGCTGGCAGAAAGTTTAGGAGGACAGGCCAACAACCAAGTGCTGGAATTACTGACTTTATTAGGAAAAACCCATGGTGAATACTGGGGTGCATGAGCTCTCCCTGAGCATGGAGGTTGCTTGAAGGATAATGCAAGGTAGTGTAGAGGTCTCAGAGACAGACAGAAGAGTTGATGATTTTGGCACAATATGCCATAGTCCAACGTAGAAGAATCACACTCATCAGCCTTCCATGGAGTGCTGGTGAAGATTCTCAGTATCCAGGTTAAGTCATTCCAACAGAATGATAAAAAAAAAATCCACTGGACTTTATATAAAAGTTTGAAGGCGTTTCACTTCCCATCCAGGAAGCTTTTTTAATTCAAAATGAATTGAAAAAGCCTAATTTCATTTCACACTTGGAATGTCTAGAGAGGAGTCCCACTATAGTTCTGTCTTTAGGTAGAGATAGAAAAACTATGTTTTTAAGGGTGTTTATGGAAGATGGGGAAGATTACAAGGATGTTTGAGGTTGCATCATTACATGAAGAGGAGTTAGACCCATGCCTTTTGTGGTATTTTGTCTAAACACTTTAAAAGAAGTGGCTTTAACACAATTCTGTCTCTGTGCAATTGAGGTGAGTTTTGCTTTGTATTGGAAGTAATAAGGCAGTCTCCATCCATCCATTTTCCATCACGCTTATCTCAGCTGGGGCCATGAGTGCTGGTGCCTATCTCCAGCTGTCAATGGGTGAGATACATCCCATCGCAGAGCAAGACAGAGAAAAACAGGACAAACAACCATTCATCCACACACTCACACCTAAGGTGAATTTAGAGAATCCAATTAACCTAACAGTCATGTTTTTGGACTGTGGAAGGAAGCTGGAGTACCTGGAGAGAAGCCACACATGCTACGGGAGAACATGCAAACTCAACGGAGAGAGACCCTGGGAATTGAACCTGGAATTTTCTTGCTGCAAGGCAGTAGCGCTACCCACTCCGCCATTCATTGGAGGCAAACGACTCACTAGCATCAACATTTTCTTAATGATCGTTAATGGCTTTAATGGTTCAAGAAGAAGAGACAGAGGGAGTCAGATTCTTGTCACTTTAGATCTCGTCTTTTATGGATGTGATCCTGCTGACCTTAGTATTGTCCCATTTCCACTTCCCTGACCTTGCTTTTTCAGAAAAGGTACTGGATTTTTTTAGGTCCTGCTCAACTATGATATCCTTGAGAAAAATTTGTAATGAAGATTTGTTAGGGTGGAGAAGAATGGATCCAGTGGAAACGGATGTAATTACTTAAAAAATGCAATATTTTGTGATATTGACAATCAATAACTTATCAGAATTAAAAACAAGCAATGACAAAAAACAAGCCAAAAAAAAAACAAAAAAATGAGGCACTAGGGGAGAACTGGCAGCTCCAGATCTAAAGCAATGGTCATCAGCTAGAGAAAGGTGGATCACTGCAGCAAGCAGAGGATTTCAGGTTTATCAAATTGTTTGGCACAAGCTGGGTTAGAATGGAGAAAGCTTAATATTGCCAAACTGGAAATGCTGTATCAATAAGAACAACTTTGTAGCAACTAACACCTATGGGAATTGTTCTTGTTCATGGGGCAAATTTGGTCCCTCTACAGGAAATGCAGCGATCCCAAATCATTAAAACCACTACCAACGCTCACATTAGCCATCAGCCGGGCAGTGAGGGTGCAGTTGCCGTGCGGATAAAAAAAAGTGTTTCCATAAGAAGGAAGTTTGGACATACGCCGCAGTGGTCTCTGATTCAAGCTCCTGACTTTAGGAAAATTAGGCACCAGGCAGAAAAAACGTCAAGATGAATTTCTGAATAAAAATCAACCCAAAACGCTGCCATTAATAGTCAAAACAAAGCGGCAAAACTGAAACAGATTAACTATTTTTCAGTGAAAACAGATATTTATCAGCACCGATAATGAGTTTTGAATTCCAGAAGAGATTGAATCTACATGAGCTCCGTTTCTGCAGCTGGAGCTGCTGCAGGACCAGCCTGGTTGCAGCATTGAGTGTAAGAGACCTTCTGCAGCACGACCACACCCTAGCTGCAGAGCGTTCATATCCATGTTCGCACTGCCTTTAGAGTGATGTTGGTACTTTTGCTCTGCGAGGGAAACAAGTTGAGGTGCTTTAATATGGACTTTCTCTTAAAGCTTTCACAAAGTGTCCCCTGAACAGATGGCATAAAGGGAGAGACCAAGAGCCAGAGACGTTTGTTTTAAGATTTACTCTCTGTAAATAAAGATGTGACTTCAAAAAAAGAAGGGTTTGGGAATAGAGACTTTCTAAATAGTGGGTGGATGATGTGTAATATCTCTATGACTACAAGGCTAATTATGATCAGGGGAACAGATAATGTAGGAGGGTTTAATCAGCTTTGACTGCCATCAGCCTCCATTTAATGAGGAGGTAGAGTGGTGGTTTAATCCAGACCCAAAAAGAACAGAAAAACACTCCAAATGTCTTACTTCTCCTTTTTGACAATATATTACGAAATAATAACTGCTTTTAGTTTGATTCAAAACCAATAAAACATAATGTAGATAAAAACTGATGTGACTGGTCTACTCTTCTGCATATTTTAAGCTGTAAATCAGGGGACTTCAACATTTTCCAGGCCAAGGACCACCAAACTGATGGCGAGATGGAGCGAGACCCCCTAAATATATATAGTATGAAATAGTGTTATATCAAACTGGTCCTATAGTCCCTCTATTAAAGATGGAGTAATGTAACGAAAGTAATTTGGCCCTTGGATTGTTAAAGTATTTCTGATTCTGATTCCTGGTTGATGGGACAGGTGTTGTGAATGAAACGGTGCCCAGCTGGAAAGAGCTCCTGTGTGTCGCTGAATGTGAGCATTGATGACTGAAAGACATCTTCTGCCTCCATTTATCTGTTTACTACAGTGTGTTGAATTCTTGTTAATGTGGATTTAAAGACATTTCAATTAGTAGAAAAAACTGCAGGGGGGAATATAAAAAGTCAAATCAACCAAAATTTCCGTGACCCCCATGCAGTACCTCTGTGGACCCCCTAAGGGTCGCGGACCCCCTGTCAAAGACCTCCGCTGTAAAATGAAATAAACAGCTGATATCAGCATAGATTCACTGATGAATTCCAGTGAGCTTCGGATTTTAACAGCAACAATATTAAGGGAGATGGTAAAAGTTAAAATTTGTCTTTTAAATTTTCAGAACCCTAATAAATGCTATTTAAAGATAATAGATGTGTTGAGGCTTTACCTGAGGCTCTGTACTGCTCTTCCTAACCAGACTGTTGTGTGAATGGTCTCCATGATGCAAGGGGCTACCACCTGAATGGAATCCGTTCACTGCGGAAACAAATAAGACACGTAGCGACAGGTGAGGATTCGATAGGTTGTGCATACTGAAAGTAAGTCTTACTGAGCTCTAACATTATTATATGAATGCCTTTATATATAAGTGTATCATATGTGATACATGAGTTATGAGACTTCTGCATCATGTATGATACAGTATCTTTGTTCTTAAAAACACAATTAGACAGTGAACAGAAAAAACCTACTTAATGTATCAAATTTGATGAAAATAAATGATCTAATTTAACATAGAAAATAGTATTTTTTATTTTATTTGTCAGAAAATGCAATGACAACTCTAATTTAAAAAATCCTCATATCTAAAGTCCTGCAGGTTGCTGATGAAGGTTTTCAGTCATCCAGGTCATAGTCATTCCGTAAAAATTCAAAAAATATCCACTGGACTTGGTTTTCAAGACTTAACAATCATAGACAGGTTTCAGGTATTACAGGAGACAATCCCCCCCTTAATGACAATCCCCCCTTTAACGACCGACCCCTAGAATCATAGACAGGTTCAGATATTACAGGCTAACGATGGAACTAACGACCCATTCATCGGTTTCCATTGCATGTTTCCAAGCGATACAAGGCGTTGTCTATATAAGACTCAAACTTACTGCGGATCCAGACATTTGAATTGAGAAAGCTTCCTGGAGAGGTGGCGAAACGTCTTCTAATCTTGAAAACCAAGTCCAGTGGATATTTTTTGAATTTTTACGGAATAAAGTCCTGCATTACAGCGAAACAAATGCTATGTAGGTATTTTACACATTTATAGACGAGCTAAACAAAATGCAAACTACAAAAAATCATCTGCTCATCCAGCTAATACAGTCTGTTAGCCGACATGAAAACTAAAACACATGAGCTACATATGAAAGGAGCTCAGATCACCACATAAAAGAGTGTTAAACACATTCAAATAAACCTTTTTTTCAAGTTATTATAAAAATTCATTGTTATTTATCTGTATATTTATTCTTTAGGTGGAAGTGTAGGTAAATGGTTTGGGTTTTTTTTATTTTTGTGCTGCCTTGTAATGGACAGCTGACCACTAGAGAGAGGCAAAATTGCTGCGAAATCTTTTTATTTTCAGTTGTTGCTTTCATCAGATACCAATAATATCAATAATATTAAAATGGCGCTTAACTACTGTCAAATGTTTAGCATTAAATCTTCTCCGTGCATCGACTGGTGTGATAAAATACCATGCTTTTAACAGGCATGTTTCATTTAGGCATTTGTGTTAGCGGATGTTTGGACTGTTTGAATCAAGGGTGTAACTTTGTGATGAAAGTTGGTGGGGCACTCTTAGGGTGGGGGCTGATGCACCTACATTTACTCCATACAAACGCTTTCAATAGGGTTTGTATTTTCCAAAAATGAGCTCAAACATATATCTATTGAATTAATTGCTTTCCTATTGTTGAGAACACAAAGCACCCAAAATACACTGACATTTATATTTATAGATAGACATTAATGTATATCAAAAAAAAGGATTAATAACAGCCGATTCCGATGCAAACAGCAATGTATCAAGCCTTCCTAGTATGTACACAATTTCAGTTTCATTCATCCATCCATCAGTCCATCCAGAAAAATGTGGATGGATTGATGGATATTTTTCCATTCAGCTAGGGGGCCAAAATTGTTGCTTTATTATTTGCAAATGTGTGTGGATTTGTGTGTGTGCAGTGGGATTTGAAAATGTGTAAATGAAACTGTAAATGTGTGCGGAGATTTGTGGGTCTGTAAAACAATCTGCAAATGTGTAAAACTACTGTCTGTGTAATCCGGTTTGCAAATGTGTAAAAAAAATCCACAAATCTGTATTCAGATTTACAAATATGTGCTGAGATTTACAAATCTGTATTCAGATTTACAGCCTGTGAGTCTTTGCTCAGGGCAGCAAATCCAGATATTACAGATACAAATCCTCTCTACGCATTTGCGGATCTCACACGGCAGCAGTGGAGCAAAAATCATGTGTGTAAAGAGAGCAAACCGAGAAACCGCTCGACTTGTAAACAATGATTTGTCTGTATTTTTGGGTCTTGAACTGAAAATACTTCAGACATAAGTGTCTCTGTGTGCTTACAGATTGATCTACACATTTGCAAATCTTACTACACATTTGTAGATTTAGATACAGATTTGTGGATTTTTTACACATTTGCAAACCAGATTACACACACAGTAGTTTTACACATTTGCAGATTGTTTTACTGACACACATATCTCCTCACACATTTACAGTTTCATTTACACATTTTCAAATCCCACTGCACACACCCAAATCGAGATACAGACACAACTCTCCACACACATTTGCAAATTAATAAAGCAACAATTTTAGCCCCATATTCAGCTACATTAATGATTATCCTCCTTCAAAAGCAGTAAAATCAAATGTAGATATTTGTCCCACATATTGCTACAGTCTATGTATGGAAATTATAGGAGGGGACATGTCCACACCAGTCCTTCAGAAAGTTATACCTGTGGTTTGAACTAATACTAATCTTTTATTTTAAAATACCTTTTATCTTGAATTAGGGACTAAACCAAACTTAGTCCCACATTCAATTAAAAATAAAGCTTTTGAATCAAATGGGGTTTTTTCTCACGAGTGCAAACTCAGTTCTACAATCCTCACACTTTCCTTCCCTCAGAATGATGTATTGCAATTTAATGCAATCTGTCTTTAAGGACAGTTATTGCCTAGTGGTTAGGGCACAGAGGTTGGAATACTGAGGTTCTGATTTTTGAGCCCCACTCCCACAGACTGCCACTGTGGGTCCCTGAGCAAAGAGCCTTAACACCACACTGCTCCCTGGGCGCCACACAATGGCAACCCACTGCTCCCCAAGGGGATGGTTTAAATGCAGAGAGTGAATTTCTCCAATGTGAGATCAATAAAGTTCAATATGACTATTTTTATGTAGATTATTAGTTGTAAAGGGATAACCAGTTCTGAATCCAGTCCTTTTTGTGGTCTGTAATATTTTAATACAGATTAATTCTAAATCTTTGCTGACTAAACATGTAAGTATGTTGAAACAATATTCTCTGTTTAGACCAAGAGGTTCTAATTAAATCTGTATAATAAAGAAGACGTATAAATGAATGAATGAAAGAAAGGATGAATACGGTTTGTTTACGTATGTGGAAACATCCAAGGAACCTTCCTGCCTATTTCTGCTTGTTTGCCTTTAGGAGCGGGGCCAAAGCAGAGACAGAGGACTCCTCAGTTCCTCAGCCTGTGGCTGCAGATGAAGTTAGTCACAGGAAGTGTCTCTGTGTGGTGAGCAAGAGCAGAGGCTTTGTGCCGCTGTGGAATCTTAGGATAATTCCCAGCCCCAGGGCACTGACACTTGAGGAAGTTGAAGTGAATGAAGCTAAGTAGAAGAGAGACCAGCTGAGCACCTGCTGGCAGAGAGTTCTTGTGTCGGATGGAGTTCTTGGGGGTCCCTGGGACGCTGGACGGCCTCTCCCATGTGGTCTCTATAGAAATAAAGTAGAGAATAGCTTAGGGAATATTAGGTGGTAGTTGCAGCTATTTGTAAGCAGAAATAAGCAGAAGTGATACCATCTTCAGATGCAAACTTGGCATTTATAGCAATAACTCATCAACACATTGTCTTTCTGGCTGTGTAAAGCGGCGCAGGGCTCATTTATTTTAGCCAGGAAATGATCAGTAAAAAACAATGGCTTTTATTCTCACCATCAAGACATAAATAAGAAACATTACATGGAGACCCCATTAGGAGGACCACAATTCAATGTAACACATTCTTTAATTTATTGGGTTAAAACTAGAGCTGAAACAATCTGATTAATCGTGATTAATCAATTATATAAATAATCATTAACTAATTTTGTAATCAATTAACTGTTAACTGAATTATAGACAATGTAAAATATACATTTAGCTAACTTAGAATAATAATAATAATACCCCAGTTGTAAAAAGAAAAAAATAGAAACATTTTGCATTTAGGATTAAAAAAAAAATTTTTGCTCGGTCAATATGCTCTATCCAGAACTCCTTAAATCAAAAAGCTTTATCTTCACCTTAATTACGTGAAAAGTCTCCTTTATGGAAACTTTTGCTATCTGATTATTAATTGATCAATACAAAAAATAATATAAAAAAATAATCGGTTTGCTAAATACTTGTTAATTGCAGCCCTACTTAAAACCAAGAGCTTCTATCTCAATTATTCGGACCCACTGAAAAATACCCTCATATCATTATTACTCCCCCTCTGATGAGTTTCTGGTGATATGAGCAGACAGGTTTTTTTATTACCACACATATCATGTGGAACAAAAGCCAAAACGTTCAGTTTTGGTCTCATATGACCTGATATCTATATCTGTGATGTGCTTTCATCTTGCAAGACAACCAAAGTCTGCAGTTTTTCTCCAGAATTACATGGGCCTCCTGGATTCTTCACTGATTAATGTGTGACCTGTCAATCGTCTCTTTTCTGCAGCAGCTGGACTGTTAAGTGTTTTGGGAATCTTTAAAAGTTTTTTACCTAAGCGTGCTTTAGGCTTCTCCACACCTTCATCTCTGATCTGTCTCAATCAGATTTTTTTTTACAACCCTTGGTGGCAGGGAATGATATTCGACCCTGGCATTTTTACGTCTACACTGGCCCACTTATGGACCCCCGAAAAAAAAAAATAGAAGCACAGTCAAACCGGTGCATCTCAAATGTGAAACACAATACGAATACACATTGTGGATTAAACCGATCTATCTTCATGCATCACACGACAACCATCACCAAGACTTCTATGATGCGGTCTGACAGGCTTTGGTTATTAACACAGACGCGACAGTGACTGCTGCTGCCCCACTCACCACATCAGCAGGGTTGCCAGATGTCACTGACTCACGTTTTCCAGCCCAAAAAATTTTCATAAACCGCCTGAATATACGAAATCTCGCCCAATTTGAACCAAAGTCTATTGATCTCTTAGGCCATAAATCTAAAGAAAAACATTTTCTACCCATAGACAGCCATCCTAAACTGACAGATTGGGAAACATCCCAACCTGGCAACAATGCATGTAGGATGGTAAACGTTAGCTATTAGATGCAAAACCCCATCATGCACCGCAACATCCATCCATCCATCCATTTTCTAGCACGCTTATCACGAGTGGGGTCGCGAGGGGTGCTGGTGCCTATCTGCAGCAGTCAATGAGCGAGAGGCGGGGTACATCCTGGATAGGTCGCCAGTCCATCGCAGGGCAACACAGAGACAAACAGGACAAACAACCATTCACACTCACACCTAAGGGGACTGTAGAGAAGCCGCACCGCAACATAGGAACATCATAGTTTGGTTAAAAGAAATCATTTTGGTTTTATTATAATTTGGTTTGTTACAAGGATTTTACAGTTTACACCATATGCCAACCGTCACAAGGATGTGCATGACAAGGAAGGGCTATATATACTGCATGCATCATTTAGGTAGTTAACATTTTATTACTCTTTGAGCTCCTTGAGTTATTTACTAGGGATGCACGATATTGGGATTTTGGCCGATATCCGATATGCCGATATTTTAAAACTCATGTAGCCGATAACCGATATCGATACCGATGTTAAAGCTGGACAAAAATAAGTAGTCATTGAAAATAGCAGTTTTGTTATCCATTTCTGACACTTTGAAAAATAATATACTCAAATATATTTTCATATGCTGATATCAAATAGATTTTTAAAAACGCGGTATTGATATATTTTACTTTCAAAATCTCGTGAAATTTCATCGTTCTGTTACAAACTCTCGTGATATTTTGCAAATTCTTGTGAGATTTTGTTAGTAAAATAGACCGATACCGTGTCAATATATCAACATATAAAAATATGGCAAAATTTCGTGAATTTTTGGGGGGATTTCGTAGCATAACGATGACATATAGCAATATTTCATTAGTAAAAGAGATTGATATGGTGTTTTTAAATGGCAATATATCAGCATATGAAGATCTTGTGATATTTTAATGTATCAATATTTTTTTCCCTCGTCTTTAGAAGTTTTTAAATCTGTAAAAAAAAAGTTTTTGAGGAAGAAGAAGAAGTAGTATTTTTTTTTTTCTTAAGACTTTAGAAACTGAGAAGCTGATCAAATATCGGGTTAAATATCGGTGGGGTGGCCGATGTCCGATATTCAGATTTAAGGCCGATACAGGCCCATACCGATAGGGGGCCGATTATATCGTGCATCCCTATTATTTACTGTCATAGGTAGGTACTTGCGCCAGAGTAAGTGTTGGAGCCGGTATGATTTCAGCGTTTGAGGGACGGCCCTCAAACGCTGAAATCAGGACCGCGTCATTGGGCAAAAGCCCGGTATCACAGATTACCAGTCGGAGCCTGCTTGGTGGCCTTCAGATAACAATTGAATTCTGAGAACATTGCACAAATATTTACTCTGTTTAACAATAGGACTCCTTCTAAAGATATCTGCTATGAATTGATTTTATACGGGGTATCAGAATAAAAGGTTAAACAAACAAAAACAGTTTATGAGGATTAAAAAAACCAAAATAAAGTGTCATCTATCATTTCAACAGGTGAGAGAGTCTGATATAAATTGTTAGTAAGAGAGCTGTAAATCTGTAGGGCATTGTTGTTCAAATATGGGTAATAAGATACTGGAATAATCTGGATTCTGGATGAGCTTTGCAGAAATGGAAACCCTGAATGGGCATGAGACAGGCATAAACACATAGAATGGATCGTAATGAAACTCCTGCTGTTAGGGGAAACTGAGAAATGTTTTTTTTGTTTGTTTTTTAGTACGAGCTCCTCATTTCCTTTAGAGTTATTCCCTCAAATGATTAACTGATAACTATTGAGTTAACTGTGGATACTAGTGGGTAAATCTGTGAATCATGTCAAATGACTTACTGTAAATATCCAAATCTAGTTAAAAAAAAATAAAATAACAGAGAGAGAGAGAGAGATCTCTTTTATCAACTTCTCTCTATAAGCTGTTCTTGTATTGAATGCATGGAAGGAGCCCTTATTGAATAAGAGCCTTTTGGCTCCACTAGCTCTATTTATCACTGCTTAGCAGAGGAAGCAACTGAGCCAAGCCAATCAGCTCAAATGACACGGCTGGAGAGTATGACCAGCAGCAGACTGTGCCACTTCAAGCTGGATGCAAAACATCAGCCTGTCCTCACAAATATATAAATATATTTCCTCTCTACTCATAAAACCCAATCAATAGCCAAGCAAATAAGAGGTAACAGCCTCAAAGAACGTATTGTATGTTATGCGACCTATTAAGTCAAATGAAGTGATTCTGCATATAGTTTACAACAAAACGTAAAGAGTCAAACTACTATGATTTCAAAGTGATTTTTATCTAATACGATGCAGATGGGTTTAGAGTGTTTAAGACATTCAATAGTGCAGAGAGAAAAAAGCTATTTTCAGGCATCACTATTGTTAAAATCTCATGGAACTGGTAAAACATATAATTAAATAATAAACAGATCTAGAGGGCAGCTACTTGGGCTACAGCCCCTGATGTTTTCCAAACAGCCCCGGATCTCTCTTCTGAGCTGATCTGAGTAAAATGTGCAGTACTGGAATTCACCAGATGGTGGCAGCATGCACAGGAAAGCAGCCTGTAGCATTTCCCCTGCAGAAGCAGAAGTGTTTCCCTCTGTGTCGGCAGAGCGCATTGCAGTCAGAAGGCGCTGTCCTGCCGCATCTGACCATTTTCACGCCGCTTCCAATCATTTCTCGGTAAAAAAAGGCTCATATAATCATGTCAACATTGTAACATTTAGTTTAAAAAGCAACCGTTGTTATTGTAAAAAAAATAAATAAATAAATAGACAAGGTCCTTTATAAGCTGCTTTTTGTTGTTTTTTTTAAACGCCATGAGAATCTTATATAATTACTGATATAAGAGGATGGAAATTGGCTGATAGCAGGGTACAAAAAATAAGACTTCCTGAAAAGATGAGAGTGTAGACTTTCTGGTAAAGTCTGCTCTGATGTAAAATATGACAGATTACTGGATTAATGAAATTTCTAGTATATACATGCTATCATACATAACAATTTTTAAGAATTTGGAAACAGTTGCTCTTTATTTCCCAAAGATATGGGAGGAGGAGAGGAGAGAATGGATATTTAAGCTGCCTGAAATAATCCCTTCCCCCTCCATAAAATGGACAAAAAATGTATTCTTATGCAAGACTTTAAGTGTGTTTATTCCTCTCTTCATTAACAACAAATCCTGTGGATTTGGTGGCATTTGATCATTATTTACCAGAGTTATGAGAGGGAAATCATATATTTTTGCCATCTGATATAATCCGTTCCCCGAATAACATGGGGAAAAAATAAACAAATCCTGTAAATTTTAAAACAGTTTTTTTCTATATCCTGTTTGAAACATTTATTATTTTATATTTTGAAATCCAAAATAGTTAAAATGTTGGTTTGATGATCTTGA